AGACCTCTCGCCCCACATATTGTCCGGCAATTCGTACTCATTATGTTTGACACCTTTGGAGACAATGAACCGGTGCTTAGATTTGGACAAAATCGCAACCAATCTCTTCATGAGCTCTACATTTCCGGATCCAATGGATCCCAACGATAGATAAATCAGTTTTCCGGACCTATTCTTAAGAGTTTCCGGTATTTCTAAAATGTCTTCATTTCCACTGCGTTTGAAACAATCAAATCCATAGAAATTATGAGGAAGTGGTCTGATATCAATATAATCCAATTCCTTAGGTGTCATAAAAATGTTGGCATATGGGGATGGGGTCCACATCATGAACTCTATCAGTGCAGGACATTCACAGGCAATCATATGATCTTTAAACATGATGTCAAGGGATTAATTAAAGTTAATATTTTTTAATGATATTTTATACATAATATAAGCTTATCATTTAATAGTGAAATAATAAAAAGGTCCTGTCATTGGTTTCTATTGTCTCGACTTATTTCCCATCAATTCCTATGAGTTCTCGCAACTCATCTATATTTCTGTTTTTAACTATCTTTTTATTATCGGTTTATTTCGATAAGTAAAAAATTTAAATTAGAAAATAATAGAAAATAATATCTATTTTTGTAATAGAAAATGATATTTAAAAATGTATTCTCTTTATCAGTATTTTAATAGGTTTATAATTCGATAAAATTTCTAATTTTTAATTAATTACTAAATTGTCGACTATTTTGACGAGTTTTTTGATATTCTTCTCGCTTTGAATTCTTTGCGATACTTTTGCCAACTTTTGAGCCAATATTTGATCGTTTAATAGTCTGTCGATTGAATCCAATAATTCATTTTCAGAGCACTCGTAGGGATTGAGTCTAATCCCAAACCCCTTTTCCACTATTCTCTGTGCGTTATCGTATTGGTCCGCAAATAATGGTAAGACTATCATAGGTTTCCCGAAATAAAAGGTTTCAGTGATAGTGTTGTTCCCGCCGTGAGTTAGGATGAGATCAATAATTTGCAACACTTTTATCTGTGGGACAGACCTCTCGCCCCACATATTGTCCGCCAATTCGTACTCATTATGTTTGACACCTTTGGAGACAATGAACCGGTGCTTAGATTTGGACAAAATCGCAACCAAACTGAGGGACAGACCTCTCGCCCCACATATTGTCCGCCAACGAGTACTTCTCGTGATTGACACCTTTGGAGACAATGAACCGGTGCTTAGATTTGGACAAAATCGCAACCAATCTCTTCATAAGCTCTACATTTCCGGATCCAATGGATCCCAACGATAGATAAATCAGTTTTCCGGATCTATTCTTAAGGCTTTCGGGAACTTTAAAATAATCTTCATTTCCACTGCGTTTGAAACAATCAAATCCATAGAAATTATGAGGAAGTGGTCTGATATCAATATAATCCAGTTCCTTAGGTGTCATATAAATGTTAGCATAAGGGGATGGGGTCCACATCATGAACTCTATCAGTGCAGGACATTCACAGGTAATCATGTGATCTCTGAATTTATACCACAATTCAGTGTTTGTTTCCCAGAGTTGTTGTCTGTATTTCTCCTTCACTTCTGTCTCACTATTTGTCGGCAATCCTTATAAAAAGACAGAATATTCTCGAATATAAATGTTTTCAATATAAGTATAGAAATCATTGTATTCCAACCTAAATATGATGGCGGAAGTCGTTTATCGAGATAACCCGTATCCAATGATAATGGACTACTACTCCAACTGAATATCCAGGGTATACCTGATGTGACTATAGATGGGAACTGTATGGCATTGTCACTAATTATGACATCAGGCTTGAGGTCGGAGATAATATTCTTGACGTATGGATCCATTTCTTTAATCTCTTTCAACCCGTAATTCAATAAAAATTCATTGAAACAAATAGTCATTTCCAATGGACTTATGTTTTGAAAAGCTCCCGATTCCTCAGCATCTGCTGAGTTACTATCGGCTGAGTCGGTGACCACTACATCCCTGTCCACCTCATCTCCGATAAGTCTCACCTCAAACCCAATGGACTCGAGCCGTGACTTCCAATCGCTGTTCACCGCAAACACACAGTTATGTCGACCGATGTCTCGCAGCACTTCGGCCATACCTATACTGGCGTTCACTGGGCCTACAAACAACGCAGGGGCAAACAGCACCGTTAGCTTTCTGTTTGGCATTATTTAAATATTGATTGTTAACTTGGTTGGCAGCAAGATTTATATTCACACTGGATTTATGAGTGGTATTAAAGCAAACCTTTTATATGAATTATTATTAATATTGACAACACATTCATATCATTTTAATCATTTAATTCAAGGCTATATTATTTACAAAAAACACATTTTATTAACTGTAAGTGTAATATTGATAACATACAGTATATTTTCAATTTATTTAATTAAAAGTGCATTAAAGTAAACTTTAACTTATATGTTTTTATAATGTGCTTTTATAATATCGTAATAATATTATACAATTTTACAATATTAATTTTATTAATAGATTTATTGTACATTTTTTAATATGTTGGCAGAATAATGATTTACAAATTAAATTTATTCACTTAGTTTAAAAACATTATCTTATATTTCATATTATAAAATGGCAATAATATTATTATACTTAAAGTTGTATTTAAGTTAACAATATAAAAATTGTTAATTATTAATCAATTACTAAATTGTCCACAATTTTGATGAGTTTTTCGATATTCTTCTCGCTTTGAATTCTTTGCGATACTTTTGCCAACTTTTGTGCCAATATTTGATCGTTTAATAGTCTGTCGATTGAATCCAATAATTCATTTTCAGAGCACTCGTAGGGATTGAGTCTAATCCCAAACCCCTTTTCCATAACTCTCTGTGCGTTATCGAATTGATCCCCAAACAGTGGTAAGACTATCATAGGTTTCCCGAAATTCATGGTTTCCGTCACAGAATTGTTGCCGCCGTGTGTTATCATTAGGTCTACGATTGGCAACACTTTTATCTGTGGGACAGACCTCTCGCCCCACATATTGTCCGCCAACGAGTACTTCTCGTGATTGACACCTTTGGAGACAATGAACCGGTGCTTAGATTTGGACAAAATCGCAACCAATCTCTTCATGAGCTCTACATTTCCGGATCCAATGGATCCCAACGATAGATAAATTAGTTTTCCGGACCTATTCTTAAGACATTCGGGGATTTCAAACGTGTCTTCATTTTCGGTTCGTTTAAAATTATCAAATCCATGGAAAGTGTCGGGAAGTGGTCTGACATCCGTATAATCCAATTCCTTAGGTGTCATATATATGTTAGCGTATGGGGATGGGGTCCAGATTAGGAACTCTTGAAGTTTGGGACATCCCATTGAAACCAATTGATCCCTATATTTATACCACTTTTCACGACTTCTTTCCCAAACTTGTTGTCTGTATTTCTCCTTCACTTCTATCCCACTATTTGTCGGCAAACCTTATAAATGAAAATATATTCAATTATTTTGTATACTATGGTATCAATTCATACCTAAGAATGCTGGTGGAAGTATGTTATCCGGGTAACCGTAGTTTATGTACAATGGATTAGCACTGCAACTGAATATCCAGGGTATGCCCGATGTGTATATAGAAGGTAAATGAATAAGCAGGTCACTTATTATGACATCAGGTTTCAGGTCCTCTATAATAGCCTTAACCAATGGATCCGTTTCTATAATCTCTTTGAGACCCAAGTTTACGGCCCACTCATTGACACGAATAGCATTTTCCAATGGAGTGGTGTTTTCTAACTGTCCCGACGCCTCAATCTCTTTATAATTACTTTCAGCTGATCCCATCCGATTAGTGGTCGCATCCCTGTCCACCGGTTGTCCAATAAGTCTCACCTCAAACCCAATGGACTCGAGCCGTGACTTCCAATCGTTGGTCACCGCAAACACACAGCGGTATCGACCGGTGTCTCGCAATACCTCAGCCATACCTATACTGGGGTTCACAGTGCCCACAAACTGAGCAGGGGTAAATAGCACCGTTTTGTTAGGCATCTCTTAAGAATTATTATAATTCAAACTTGTACGAGTTATATACAGTTTGCATTGCATTCAAATCTTTTTATAGCTTTATTATTACGGACTATTAATTACTTATCAGATATTAATGTCATTTACTAAATACTGAGTGCATTAGTAACTGTTTGTTATTAAGTGCTTTAGCTTATCATATGTTATGTACTGTACCGGTATTTAATTAATCTCTTAACTTTTTACGATATACGCTCATTGAGATAGTCGATATCAATCGAAACCTGTACATTTCAATCATATACTACGTGCTAAAGGTTATAATATGTACTATCGATAATTTTCCCAATGAGCGCCATCGTAAAAATTTAAGAGTAGTACTGACAGTGATTTTCATATTGACACTCAAGTGACAACTAGCCTTGTAACAACTTTACATTTTAAAGCATTTGATTCAACGTTAGTTATTTTATTTTGATCGAAAGAGTGCTTATTATATTATTTATAATTATGAGAAAACATATCTCACTTAAGTTTATCTGTGTTACATTACATACTTGACAATAGTTCTCTGATTATATAAAATAAAATGAATATTCACAAATACTGTACTATTAAAACTTAAATAAATATATTTTGCTTAAGAAGGAATTTCTCGATACGGAAAGTTGGCAATGCTAGTATAATTTGTATGTACATAAACTTAATCATATGCTTTAAAATGTAAAGTTGTTACAAGGCTAGTTGTCACTTGAGTGTCAATATGAAAATCACTGTCAGTACTACTCTTAAATTTTTACGATGGCGCTCATTGGGAAAATTATCGATAGTACATATTATAACCTTTAGCACGTANTAACATTATTTGTATAGACGGTATGTATTAAAAGTTTAGACGGCACTCAACCGTATAGTAAGCACTTTATGTGTCGCAAACTTATCCGGCAAATGAATGCGTATAATGCAATCATATATACAGTATATATAGTATTCAAGTACAAATGATCATGTCAGCCAACTCCTTGGCCGCAAAATGATCATTTTATCGCCCGAATTCGCACTTTTTGACCATGCATATTTATCAAGTATATGATTTAGTTTATGTTCATACAAATTAGACTAGCATGGCCAACTTTCCGTATCGAGAGATTCCTTCTAAGACAATTAAATTATAATCATATTTACTTATACTCATATTTATACTTTGTTAGTATATGAATGTAATACATATTAAATTGCAGTTTTATATGGAAAATGATATAAATTGTTGTTAGATATTTGTATTTTGAAAATTTTATTTAATATTCAATTAAGTCATGTATTTATATTATATGAAATGATGTAATATTTTATTTTTAACATAATTTTATGAAAAATTAACTTTAATTATGGCAGATTTTCAAATACTTGGCATTATAATATCAAGTATTAACCTTTCCCTTGATACTTGACGAGACCCTCAAATACTTGAAAGTCAAGGTGAAATACTTGACAATGGGCAGTCTAATTACAGACCCTAATACACAATTCATAAAGTGGTTCCTTAATATTTTTAAAAATTTTATTTTACGATATATTTTATGCAAAATGTCAGATAATATAGTAATTAATTATGAAATATTATATATTATTAAAAATTAGGTTACAATTATTTAACTAATTTTTCGAC